GCTCTAGCTCTGTCATAGTAAGAGGAGTCTCAAACCTCTGCAGAGAGACCACTGCTTTCCTAGAGAGAGAGCAAGAGCCCTTCTCTATAACATGCTGGCAGACGATAGGCTTTCTTACTCAGGCCCAGGCTGCATTTGTAAGAAAATAGACTGCAAGACTTTGCACACCTTTTGTTGTACACCTGGAATGTATTTACATGATATAAACAGCACACACAACAAAACCTTAGTTTTAGTACTTTTGAACTGATTGAAAACGGCATATGTTGGAATTCCCCTTTAGCTCTGCAATCTATCCACTTAGTTCTTCGGCACTGGTAATAAATCATGTCAAGTGTGGACAGCACAATCATTGTAAAAAAAGTTTACCCTCCTGTATAATCAGAGGAAACTGCTGTGACTGTCGGATGGGAACTTTCTCGATTTTAATGAGGCTTTGTGAAACAACATAAACAGATATAAAGCATGCTGACATTTTCCTTACACAGCTCTGATTGGGCACTATATCTGTATGGTATATATAAATGGGGTCATACATTTCTGTGAATGTACATGTAAATAAATATAGAAACAACAGCCTTTGCTTACATAAATTAACAGAAAGTAAAAGGTTATACACAATGGGGTTGATTTACTAAAACTGGGGAGTGCAAAATCTGGTGCAACTGTGCAAGGCAGCCAATCAGCTTCTATCTTCAGCTTGTTCAATTAAGTTTTGGCAAAAAATCTGGAAGCTGATTGCTTTTTACGCACAGTTGCACCAGATTTTGCACTCTCCAGTTTTAGTAAATCAACCCCATTGCATAGATGTTTCCTCTGAAGCCTTTAAATATAGAATATAGTTCTGCCTCTCTCTTTTAGAATATCTGGACTAAAAAATTTCAAAGGGGCTAACTGACAATTACAAAGAAAAAAAGCTTCTATTGAAACCAATTTGGGATAATGTAACACCATCATTTGGCTTTGTGATAACTGAAGCAGTTTATTTTTACTGTGTTGTGTCATCATTGGAGTACCAGGACTCTGCATTCAAAATATCTGGTCTCCCACAGTACAAAGAACATAGAAATGCAATTATTTTATAATTATATAAATATAAACTGCTAAATACCTTTTCTCATCAGCAGTATATAGCAGTCTTGTGACTTCTATCAATATCTGACTGAGCACTGGTTAAAGCTTGTAACAGGAGTTTTCATTCTCCTCTGACTGTCCTATGAGGCTGCATAACCCCTGACCCACTGTTTGGACAGTGCTGATTGGCCCTTTGCCGATCACAAGCACCCTCCCAAAAAATTTTTTTAAAACCCTCTACCTATACACGCCAAACACAGCATGTGCAGAGTGCCTCCTAGGGCACTGTACTATCAGCAAATGGATTGGGGACAGTAAAATAAGGGGATGATCAGAGAAGACAGGATCAAACAATCATTTTATACAATGTGGAGGATTAACCCCTTAGGTCCCACAGTGAGACTAGGGCAGCACATTGGCTAAATGGTTAGCACTTCCACCTGGCAGTACTAGGGTCGTTGGTTCAAATCCCAACCACAGCACCACTTGCTTGGAGTTTGCATGTTCTCCCTGTGCCTGCGTGGGTTTCCTCCAGGTACTCCTGTTTCCTCCTACACTCCAAAGACATGCTGGTAGGTTAGTTGGATCCTGTCTAAATTGGCCCTAGTATGTGTATGTATGAATGTATGTTAGGGACCTTAAATTGTACCCCCCTTGAGGATTAGGAACTGATGGGAATGTATAATGTATGTAAAGCACTGCGTAAATTGACAGCGCTATATAAGTACCTGTAATAAATAAACAAGCATGCTTTACTGCATATACAGACTGATTTTACTGTTGTGGCTTTAGTAACACTTTAACACTATACTTTTTAAAACATTTACATCAAACTTTCAGCACTTAAACATTATATTATATATACTTTCAAACATCAGTTTAAAAACATCAGTTTAAGGGTCCATGGACACTGAGCTTAAAAAACACCAGTTGTTTTGGACAAAAAAATGCTTTTATAGAGTGTTTTGTACAGGCCTTTAGGAGTGTTCAGCGTTTTCTTCTGCCTGCAAACCAGAAGGGTTTTATTCTGCCCCTAAAGCTTGAGCATAAAAAATGCCTAAAAAAAAGCATACTAATGTGCATGAACACATAGGATAACATTGAGCTGTTTCTACAGGCAAAATGCAAAACTCTAGAAGCAGCTTTTTCTAAGCCCAGTGTACATGGACCCCAAAGGAAACATAATTATGAAAAAGCATTGGGTTTAGGCAATTATTTTGAATTTAGTCTTAATCCATTTTGATCTCTGTAACTCAACAGGTATGGTATACATGCTTTACCTAACTACTCTAAAAAGTATCCCCCTTTCTCCACCCAGAAAATTTGGAGCTATAACAGTTTCTAATCTGTATCTCCTTCTCCTTATGGCTCATACATGACATGACCCCCAATCTACTGTACTGCCAACTTGTTACAAATTTGTCATGATGTGGTATGGTATGAAGACAACCTCTTTAATGAAGATTTTAACACCAAAATGGAGCATTAGACCAAAAGATCAAAAACAGCCTCCAACTACAATTTACAACCACAAAGTAACATTTTTATATCATGTGACCTACTGCTGCTTGACTCTGACATCAGGGTACAGCATACATCCCTAAATGAAAGGGTTTTGTATCTATTCCCAAAAACAAAAATGTAATATAGCATGCCAGGCCTTAGATGTGCTGGCTGCATTAGCGTTCATCTTTCAGGCTAAGCACACTTTCAGCAAGTAAAAAAAAAAAAAAAACCTGTTGATCTTGCCAGAAATGCAGTGTCCTTGTGACTCCCCTTAAAAGAAAGGGAAAGTATCTCTATCTTTGTTTTGTAAACTACTAGTCACATCAATCCACCATGAAATGGTGAAGAACAGCCATGCTATTTACCACAAGGCAAACAAGGCATTTGCCTAGGGCAGCATTTTTTCAGGGGGGGGGGGCAGCACTGCCCCTAGGAAGAAGGGACGGAAGAAGGGACACATGCGGCATGGGGACCTGGTGGGTTCCAAGAGAGGCTGCGGGTTTCATGACGGTGTATGCACAGCCGAACTCTCGTTCCCGGGGATGTCCGGAGCTATGCAGGTGAGTGTCTTTCTCACAAGGCTCTCTCGGGTGGGAGGCAGGGGTGTTGTTGGGTGGGGAGATGCAAATTTTTGTGTTGCCTAAAGCAGCACAAAGCTTAAATACGCCACTGGTGGCAATCATGGTTACTATTCCCCCCATAAATACAATAAAGAAATTATTGTAGACAGGAAGGGACAGGATGTGTGTTAGGACTCATGTACACGGGGCATTTGGAAAACTCTTCTGAACGACGGAAACTGACTGCTGGAAAACGTAGGTTAAAAAAAGTGAGTTTAGCCGCGTTTGCATACTACGTTTATGTGTTTGCGTTTAGAAGCGTTTTTAACAGATAACCACAGGAGATCTTCCCAAATGCCCAGAATGCACTGAAAAATAGTAAATAATTAACTATTTCAGACATTTTGAGAGAAAAAGAGAGAGCAGAAGCAGAGAGAGCAGTATGTGTTGAGATGACCTGTCTTTTCAGGTTGTATTCACTATGGATCCCATCATGAGCATAATGCAGCACGTTCTACCATTTCTTCCTTCACACAATACCTGGAACTGACTGCGCTGGTGTACCGGGTCCATTTGAATACATGGAAAACGCTTTGCATTCATTTCTGATGATGAAAAAAGGCTCTGGACAGTATCTGGCCATGGAACAGTTAAAAAAATGCTTCTAAACACAAACGCTTATAAATGTGGTTAACCACGTTTACAAGCATTTGGGGTTTGAAATGCCGGTAAAATCTACACCTGAAAGCAAGTTTGGTGCGTTCACAAAAACGACTGTAAACTCAACTGCCTGTAAACCACTGTAAACAACTATGTTGACTAAATGGTTAGCACTTCCGCCTGGCAGTATTAGGGTTGTTGGTTCGAACCCCAACCACCGCACCACCTGTCTGGAGTTTGCATGTTCTCCCTGTGACTGCGTGGGTTTCCTCCGGGTACTCCGGTTTCCTCCCACACCCCAAAAGACATGCTGGGAGGTTAATTGGTTCCTGTCTAAATTGGCCCTAGTATGTGTATGTTTGAATATGAGTTAGGGACAGGGGCGGACTGACCAATTGGAAACTTGGGCACTGCCCGAGGGCCTGGGGTCAGTGGGGGGCCCCATGAGATGCCCCTGGTACCTTTTTCATAGGCTTTTTTGAGTTTGGGGAAGGACACAAGGGCCCCATGATTCCCTATTTCCCGGGGCCCCTTGAGTTGTCAGTCCGTCCCTGGTTAGGGATCTTAGATTGTACGCCCCTTGAGGGTTAGGGACTGGTGTGAATGTACAATATACTGTATGTATGTAAAGTGCTGCGTAAATTGATGGCGCTATAGAAGTACCTAAAAAAAATTAATAAAATAAACTATGTGTACATGGACACATAGGAAAACATTAGGGAGAGTTCAGGGGCTGCTGAAAAAAATGCTGAACAGCTCCTGAATTTCAGTTTACATGAGCCCTTACAGAATATGCAAGAACACCAAATAAAAGAAATAAGAAAAAAAAAACCTGAAAAAAAGAAAACTAATGCAGCCAACAGCACATTTCAACATAATATACATAGTCCCTAATATATCCTCCAACCTCTGGAGCAGCCTTTTCTGTCGAAGTTAAAAAGCGCGCATTTCTGTGACTTCATTACAGGAAAAAAGTAAATTCCTTTTATACAGCTGTCAAATAAATTTGCATAAAGTTTGTCTGAAAAAAAAATCAAAGCACCGAACATTAAAACCCCTCCAAAAAAAAAGTAATTTGCGGCATTGCCACAAATCTAGCGAGTTACAAGAGCAAATCCAGAGCAGCTAAAAGTTTGCTAAATTCAGAGTGAAATGTTGTTGAATTGTGAAAATTAGTGTAATCATCTCTTAATGCGCTGCGTATTTTTTTTTTTGCCTTAGTTACGCACGCTAATGTGGATCATGAATGTTTTGCTGCTATAATGATGGGGTGTGTGTAATGCAACAAATCTGTAAATAAGAAGCACTTAAGACGTGAGCAAATGATCTTATTTGCTCCCCTCCTGCGCTGTCTGAACGCATCTGGCAAAGATGAGAGCTTTTATTTACCGGAATACATAAAGTCAGAAGGGAAAACAACAGAGACGGATCGCTTACAGCTTGTATGTACTGTTACAGCAACAGTGCCATCTGCATAACTTCCATACGCAGAGTTATGTGAGGGCACTGAACAAGAAGAGTCCTCTGTTGAAAAAGTTGTAAATATGTTTGAGTTGGACTGTTCCCAGGATGCATCTCTGACATGTTTAAACGGAGATCACTCGCAGGAACGCAGTGAAAGGGGTCTAGGCGCAGGCAAGGGGGGTATAGAGGAGATAACTGGGAACAGATCATGAAAAGTGAGGACGGAAGAAGGGAAAGTGGTAGGAGACAGATTTAACAAGAGGGAGAAAATCAGCAGCAGATGGAGGAAGCTTAGAAAATGACTATCACTATTACAATCAATTAAAAGGCACCTGTTAACATGGAGGCCGCCATTGTCATAGGTCGGAACGTTACATAAAAGCATGTACATACAAATATTATGCATAGAAAAAAAACCTGCTTTGGAAAGCTAGAATGAATGTCAAGGAAGTGGGCATTAGTCAAAGGTGAACTCCACACAAACAGATTTATTTATTTTATTTCAGGTACTTATATAGCGCCATCAATTTATGAAGCGCTTTAGATATATATTGTACATTCACATCAGTCCCTAACCCTCAAGGGGCGTAAAATCTAAAGTCCCTAACTTACATTCACATACTAGGGACAATTTAGACAGGAGCCAATTAACCTACCAGCATGTCTTTGGAGTGTGGAAGGAAACCGGAGTACCCGGAGGAAACCCACGCAGGCACAGGGAGAACATGCAAACTCCAGGCAGGTGGTGCCGTGGGTGGGAGTTGAACCAATGACCCTAGTACTGTCAGGCAAAGGTGCTAACCATTTAGCCACTGTGCTACCCATAATCAAATACATATATGGAAGCTGTTTTACCTACCAAATGATTTGTATATCTGTCCAGCCAGTCCAGAGATTTGTACAGCTCTGCTTGTGAAAAGTCAGTAAAAGGAGAAGCAGGAGATGGATGAGCTCATCTCCCTCTCAATCCACTTTCTCTCGTCGTATCACCACATTCCTTGTTAGCACATGATCACTGTCTCACACTTGATTGGCTGTTTGTTCTACTTCTTACTCCTTCCCGCTGTTTTACCTATCAAATGATTTGTATATCTGTCCAGCTAGTCCAGAGATTTGTATAGCTCTGCTTGTGAAACAGTCAGTGAAAGGAGAAGCAGGAGATGGAGGAAGCTTAGAAAATGACTATCACTATTACAATCAATTAAAAGGCACCTGTAAACATGGAGGCCGCCATTGTCATAGGTCGGAAACCAGGGGCGGACTGACAACTGTTTGGGCCCCGGGCAATAGGGGATCATGGGACCCCCTGTGTCTTCGCCCACACACTCAAACCACACCCAAAAAAGCCTATGAAAAAGGGTACCAGGGGCATCTCATGGGGCCCCCTACTGACCCCGGGCCCTCAGGCAGTGCCCAAGTTCCCAAATGGTCAGTCCACCCCTGGTCGGAACATTGCGTAAAAGCATGTAGATACAAATATTATGCATATTAAAAAAAAACCTGCTTTGGAAAGCTAGAATGAATATCAGGAAGTGGGCATTAGTCAAAGGTGAACTCCACACAAACAGATCAAATACATATATGGAAGCTGTTTTACCTATCAAAGGATTTGTATATCTGTCCAGCCAGTTCAGAGATTTGAACAGCTCTGCTTGTGAACAGTCAGTGAAAGGAGAAGCAGGAGATGTATGAGCTCATCTACCCCTCAATCCACTTTCTCTCGTCGTATCAGCACATCCCTTGTTAGCACATGATCACTGTCTCACACTTTATTGGCTGCTTGTGCTACTTCTTACTCTCCTAGTCTGAGCTCTGCTGCACGAGGAGTGAAAGAGGCTCAAAAATAAATGTAATGATGTAATAATTAATACAATCCTTGTTAATATGCACCTTTTTTATCTGCCTGAAGTTCACCTTTAACTGAAAATGAAGGTGTTACTAAACCCACAACAGTAAAATCAGTCTTTACATGCAGTAAAGCATGCTTGTTATACTCACTGTGGAGCCTAAGAGGTTAATCCTCTGCATTGTGTAAAAAGGCTGTTTGATCCTTTCTTCTCTGCCCCTCCTCTTGTTGACATGACCACCTGATACAGACTGAATTGGTAATCACATGCACATGCTCAGTTTGGTGTGTATTGCTAGAGAGGTTTTTTTTGGGGGGAGGGTGAATGTGACCAGCACAGGGCCAATCAGCACTGTCCAGACAGAAGTCAGGGGTTTTGCATCCTCCTAGAGCAGAAAGAAAACTCCTCCTACAACCTTTAACCAGTGCTCTGCTGAAGTCTGCTGCTGTAACTGCTGATGAGAAAAGGTATTTAGCAGTTTATATTTACTAAAATAATTGCATTTCCATATTCTGTGTACTGTGGGAGACCAGATATAGTGAATGCCTGGGTTTTATATCACTTTAAAGTAGTTTTAAAGGCTGGAGGGTTTTCACATTCATGCATAGTGTGCAGCTCGCCCTTCAGCCTCCCCTTCCTGAGGCAATCCCAATCCAACAATTTGCATGAGAGTAGAAGCTCTCCTGGGTCTCTGCCTCCTCAATGGCTCAGACACAACAGTGAGAGCGATTGGAGTTGCAGTCAATCATAGCCAGTGAGGAAGGAGAGGTGGGTGGGGTCAAGCCACGCTCTGTGTGTCTCATAGACACACAGAGGTGGCTCAGGAGTGAGCACACACGGATGTCCCCAGAGCAAGCAGCTTGCTCTAAGGGCGCTCAGCAGGGGGGGAGGAACCAGGAACACCGGTGGGGAACCCGAAAAGAGGAGGATCAGGGCTGCTCTGTGTACAACCATTGCACACAGCAGGTAAGTGTGATGTGTTTGTTATTTGAAAAAAACAAAAGTCTGAACCTTTACAATCGCTTTATGCTTTGAGATGTAAGAAGAGGATAACAGCCAACCTGCAATCCACCCCACGTCCTAATCAGTAGGCTGCCATTTTGTGATGTAGAACAAAGTATTGACTCCGGTTCACTTTCAGAATACAAAGCCATGATGAGATGTGCGCGTTAAGCACGTGTGCTCAAACCTGGTGTATGAGACCTCAAAAAAAAATTATCAATCTCGAACATCAAACTTATATTTCCCGATCTGTAGCAATACACACTTATAGAGAAAAAATTGGAGCACTGAGTTTAAAAACCCAAGTGAGCCCTTGTCATGAAGATTGAAGATCAATAAGCAGCGCGTTCAGAGGAAGGATTAGGGACAAAATGCATCAGAGGAGCTTAAACTTCAAATGCGTCCTCAATCTTTGTTTCCTCTTCATCTTTAGAAAAGAAGATCGCTCCGCTGGATGTGGATCTCCAAGCAATTCTCTCCTGTGAAGTTTCAGGCAAACAAATTGTTTTCAAGGTCCCACTTAGCAGCATAATTTAGAATGGTAATTCTGTTAATGTACTCAGAAAAAAAGGGAAAAAAAACTTTGTTTCCTAGCAGATTTAATCCCTATAATGATTTCTTTGTGTCTGTGTTCTGTTTGAATTTGGTTCTGTTTGGTGCAAGGTGAGCAGAATTTGGTTGGTGCTCGTAAAAAGTTCTATGTTGAGTTTTCTGATCAAAAGAACAGAATTATTACTGAATTTTCCAATGACTGCTTTAGGATGTTAGCTAAATTTCTTGATGTGAAAAAAGTATAATTAAATGGGCACTAGAATTAGTGAGTCATATTAACAAAACAGAAAAACTCTTTCAGTTTTTCTAATATTTAGTTTAAAAATATCTAAAGCCCCATTTTTTCTTCATAAGTGTCCCACTGGGGATATTTCCCTTCATTTCCTGCCCTATAGGTACACCAGGAAGTGAGAGAAAAATCTCTCCAAAGTGAGAGAAATGCCCTGGAGACATGTCCCCACTGGAAGATTCCGCCTCTGTTCTTGTGGCAGCTAAGTGTTTTGGATATTTTGCTTTAAGTCTCAGTGGTAGTTGTCACCAGAACAGAGATTACTCTCCCTAAAGTGAACATGGGCATCAATAAAAACCTGACAGAGGTTACAGCCCCTCACCACTCTATTCAAAACCAAAAATAAGGTTTTGCCTTTGGACGCTTTAAGGAACTAATAACCTTGTAAAGAACAAGCCTGGTTGCAGACACATGTATTGTGTGATAGACATATTAATATTGTAAAACCTGTACCATTTCACAGTGGCAGTTAGTTGGGATTCTTCTAATGTGTAGAAGTCCTTACAAGGAGACCCTAGAGCTGAGACCCTAGAGCTGACCACACAGCAGTCTCCTTTAGATTATTCAAAACTATGTAACATGGGAATTTAGTTAAACAAACTATTTAATTTGCATCAAACAAGTTAAGCCCTTTAACAACACAGTTGTCAGTTGATCTAAAGGCTCTTGTCAATAGACATCATTTCTTGCCTTTGACATGCGTTTGATAAGCACATCAATCCCAGGACAGCAAATTGCCATTGACTTTATTGGAGCAGTACATATGACAGTTTGGAGGCAGCGTTTGACCTGCTTTGCGTTGCGCTGGATTTCTTTGGATGCAGCATGTCCTACTGAGGTGTTTAAACTGCAGGCAAAGCAGGTCAAACGTAACCTTTTCTTCTCAGACTCCACTTAAATGCATTGAAATTCATGCAGCTGCATTTCACAAGAACACTCAATGATATGAGCCCTAAAGGAGATCGTTCAATCAAATTGTAACCTGAATGGTCACATTCAGTAGCCAAAGTTCAATATACTAGTATTTGAACAGTCTTAAATTACAAGTACTTTAAATGGTAAGATTCCCCAAACCTAATTTTTTTGCTATAGGTGGACTCTAGTGGTCTAGACCCTCTCCAATTATCCTTATGTCTTTATGTTCTAAGATATTACATTATTTGGCACAAAATCAACCCTGGTATGATATGACAGTAGGTGGCAGAACATGTCTTTCCATGGAGAGATGTCTTTCCTATAGAATTATTACAAATGCAAGTTATGTAGACTTTATAGTTTGGACATTTTCCTTTCTTCCTACCTTAATTTCTTCCTCCCCCTCCTTCCTCCTTTCTTTCCATCCTTGGTCACTTGAAACAAGTCTGACGTTCCCAAGGAGCCTAGATATAGATAGTCATATTTTCCAGGTTTATACTGGACCACATCAAGCCCAGAAAATATCTTTCTTGTCTTTTAATAGTCATTCCTTTAAAATTTCAGCTCTTTACCTTCATTTCTTTCTTCTTCTCACCTTCCTTTTCATACCTTTCACTTCTCTTCCCTTTTCTTCCCTCTTTCTTTCCTTCCACCGTTCCTTCCATTCTTTCCCCTTGTTCAAATCTGATGTTCCCAGAATCTTGGTTTCTATTAGCCTACATCAGACCCAGGGAAATATCCACTTTTCCTCTTGATACTCTTCTCTGTAAAGTGTCAGCTCTTTACAATGTATGCTAAACTAACTAAAGCAGCCTCTTTCAACCTTTTCAACATGAAGAACCCTTGAAATAATTTTCTGGTCTCAGGGATTCCCTGCTAAAAGTTACTATATCTACAACTCATAATACAATAGTGTGATGGTCAATGAGAGAAATGCTCCTTACATTTGAAAGGATTGGAAATAATTACCCCCTTACAAATAACGAAAAAAGATCCATGGGCCAGTGGGAACTTATTTGAGAGGCAGAAACTGCACATTGCTCAAGGGACCCCTAGTAATCTCTGGAGGAACCCTAGGGTTCTATGGAACCCTGTCTGAGAAACCCTGAACTAGAGTCAAAGGTGAATGGAGGTTCCAACACAGCAAAAAAAGGTTATGAATACCTACGTTAAGAATCCTTTGGAAAGTCTAACTAAGCATTTACAAAGGGTTAAGTGCCTCTTGCCTTGCATTGACTGCAATTTAAATATGATGCACAAACTACTGAGGTGCTCTGCCTGTAAGAACAGTGATATAAAGGAAAGTGAATATTTCAAAAATCACTATTTGATGCTAATGGTTCCAGTAAGTACCTCGTTCCTCACTGGTGTCAATAATTCCTTGTGATTTCACAGGCTGTCTCTTCAGTTTCAGCCCAGAAAAATTACCACCTTGCGCTAAGTGCACTCAATAGATCCATTTTAAAGTTGGAGCTAGCTAACAAAAAAAGTTTGCCAGAAACTTGGAAACTGAGCTCACACCTTGAAAGGGGAACTTTAAACCTGGTCTTTACCTTGCTCGCTGTGGCGGATCATTGTATCCCGGCTTCGGCATAAAAACGGTTAAAGAAAACAATGGAAGCCGGAGGGGAGCGGGAGAGTGGATAGGATTTACTGGCGTTTACTTTTAATCTATGGTGCTTTCGGCTCTGTAGCTTATCAGCCCTATGTCAGCTTCTTTTTCCTCTTTTATACTCGACGCATCGCCCCCCATGCTGCTGCTGAGGGACGGGACCCGAGTGTCTGTCAGCTTTTTGTCAAGGGAAAAAAAGGGAGAAGAAAAAGAACGGAACAAGAGGCAAAGCAAAGCTAAGAGGAATCTATTAGATGTCACTGGGCTTTTGTATCCATGTCAATGATTCAGGATTAGAGTGTTTGAAATAATCTTATTGAGGGGAATCAAAGGAAGAAGGGAGACGAGGCAGCCTCCAAAGCATATGGCAACAGCCTGGACAATATCTTATTAGGAATATGTGCCCTGGCACCATTACCTCCATAGAATGCTATTAAACCAAACATTCTCCAGCTTATAGGTGCCACTGACACACACACTTCCAAAAAAAAGTTCTCAATAAGAAAGGCAGAGAGTAAATTGTTCCCTTTAGTAAATTACAGGAGGCAATGAAAAGCCTGTGGCTTGCACAGTCAAGGGCTGACTGACTGCAGGAGGAATATAAAGAAGATGTACACTCCTTAGAAGGTATATGAGAACATATAGTCAAAGATTAGGTTGCTCTCCTGTAGGACAGCCTGGCGGAACCTGTGCTCATATGCAAACCGCTAGGGAGGCTGAACTGTCAATTAGCCCTCTGTCTAGGGTTTCCTGAAGCAGAACTGTGAATGGCAGATCAGTTTTCCAAAAATTTCAGCCATCAACTGCTGTCCTTACAGGTAGCAATAATATATGTCACTCTTTAGAAAGACCATCAGGCATTTGGACCCACAATCCTAGAAATAAACTTACTATTTTATTACTAAAGAGAACCATCCATATTCCTATCGTACACATTCCTGGAAAAGGCTCTGGAA